TTGACACACTCTGGTTCACTCCTCAGACGACTACTTCTCATACTTCAGGCACCTTAAGGAAACTCCCTAAGTCACTTCTAAGCTCTCGGTTTCAATGATTGCTCTTTGACATGGTGTTTGGTCTCTTGCCTGTGTCTGATATGACTGATCACTCCGCCCCATTCTTCTGTACCCCTCTGGATTTTGAGACAACTTTCCCCTGGTTTTCCTTTCATCCCTTTGTTCTCTGTTTGCTTCATAAGCTCCTCTTAAATGCTACTGGTTCCCAGGATTCTGCTTCACTCTATATAACCTTTGTACAGTGTTACTGACAGGGAAAACTGCGGGGGAGGGGTAAGGGGGTGGGAGTCGGTGGAGGGAGTAACATGGGAACTCTATACTGTCTGCTCAATTTTTCTGTAACTCTAAAACTGTTCTAAAGAGTAGAGTTTATTAATAATAATTTTAAAAGGCAATGCTTTAAAAACGCTAAGGCTAAAACAACTATAACATTTTGGAGTTAAAATAATCCTTTGTTCTAAAAATTATTTTTCTGATATAGAGTCTGGGTAGGAAGAATCAGTTGTCTGAATTTCTATAAAGACCGTGAAAAACAAAACACACCAACTAATTCGAAAGAAAACTATAGAAAATTTACTGTAATTAGGTCACACGTTCAGAACAATAATCTCTAATTGGATTTGTCGAAGTGTTCCTGCAGGTATTGATTTAATTCAATTCAATATACATTTATCGAACACCTGCTACGTGAAAGGCCCTTGGTTTGGCACTGGGTAGTGGATATAAAAGCTGAAGAAGACACGGTTCCTGAAACTACAGAGATTAGCATCTGGAAGAGCATAAAAACAACGCAAATACTCAAATGCACGGCAGACGTAAGTGAGAATGTGGGACAGAGGGAGAGGAGGTCATTCCAAGAAAAGACAACATTGGAAAAGTGCAAGGCCTTCGGAAAGAATAATGAGAAGGTCAGTTTGGCTGGAGCATATGCTGTGACAGTCATGGGGCCTAGGAATGAAAACAGTTGTGGGGCACTAGGGATACAGCACGACCACAGACACACTTCTACACTACTCAGACCAAAGACTGAACCAACGGACAGGACGGCAGGCAAGAGGCGGCGTGGGCACAACAATAGCCTGGCTGGTGAACGGGGCCAGAACCATGGCTTTCTAGTGAGACTGGGAAAGAGGGGACATAAGACATGTGGCTTTCGATGTCCAGACTGCATTTTATGAGACCGTGCAAAATTCAGGGACTGCAATAGCAATAGATGGTCCTAATGATGAAGACCACGCTTCACATGTACTGATCTGAAGCATGTGCTGGCTCTTGAGGGAAGATGCTGATACTAAAGGCTGCCTCTTCAGCTTGCTTGGGCTGATGCAAATCAGCTTACGTGCCTTTCATTCCCTCCCTCCTATTCTATAAAGCTTTTATGTTTTTCCTGATTATAAAAATAGTGCATGCTTAACATAAAATTGGGGCTATACATAAAATAAAATCCTTTTGATTTGTATAATCCACAGGTAACCACTATTATAATTCCCCCTCATTATTTTTCTATGCATGAGGCACTGGGAAATAGTGCAGTTGGTTAGTTATGGAATACAATCTTAGTTATGTGCACTCGTATAGGTTAAACCTCATACTAATAATATGAAACCAACACAATATGAAGTTGTTGTTTTGCACATCAGGATCTCCAGCTGCTTGTCGGAATGGCTGTGCTCTATTTCTAAAAAGCTCTTTTGTATAGACTTCATGATAGCGAACTGTGTTGCAATATATTTATATAATTGATATATTAATTTTTTGCTTTAAAAAATACAGCACAAAATGTGACAGTTTACCTTAACAGTAGAAAATAAAGGTGATAAGAATGTATGTAAGAAGGAGTCTAACTCAGAAATGTCTTATTCCTAAAGAAACAATGGAGTTTTTTAATAGTATGAAGTTTCTCATTCTGTAGCAGAACAGACTGTATATGTTGGGCTGGCCCAAAAGTTCGTTTGGGTCTTTCTGTATGGAAAAACCCGAACGAACTTTTGGGCCAACCCAATATTTTATATTCACAAAAGTGCATATATTTGGCAAATTGGAATAAACACACACATACACATGCACACATCTGTATCCTGTTTCTTCTCTGAGTATGTTTCATATACAATTACATATTTTAAATGTTCTTTAATGAACAGTCATGTCAATCTGTTTAAAATTTAGCAATTCTTCAAGAGCCACGGCAAGTTTTGCCTCCACTATAAGTATTCAATGAGAGCCCATTTATTACTTCTTGGGATTACAGTAACAGATCCTCTGAATGCCTTTACCAGTATCTAGCCTGTTCTCTTTCCAAATCACTTTGATGAAATGATTTCTCTCAAACGTGGCACCAATCATGTCACTCCCCAGCTCAGGAGACCTTCGACGGTTCCCCACTGGCTACATGATCCCGGTCTGGTTTCACTAGTCCAGACTTTCCCCGCCTCATACCATCTATATTCCCACCAAACTTAACCTTCTGGGCCTTTACTTCAACTCCCCCCACCTGGGATTCTAACATCACTCCATGTTCCTTTTTACCTTGATGACAGTTATTTGGGTACACGTCTTTCCTCTGGATTAGGCTGTAAACACTTTGAAGCCAGGATTTCCAATTTCAGTGCAGTGCAGTTAAGTGTAAATCAAAGTCACTGAAGACCAACTCTATTCCAGACACCAGGCAAGGTGTTAAGAGTAGAGAGTAAATAAGGCTCAATCCTCACCCTCAAGGATCTTACAGCCCAGAGAGGGAGACAACATGTAATAAATAACCCGATTCAAGGTACTCCATGAAATGGCAGGAATGCACAGGAGACACCATGCAGCACAGAGGAAGGGATGGGCTCTGCCTGTACGGGCTGGGCCGTGATAGGTGATTTCTAAAGGAACAAGAGAGTGCCAGACAGCAGAGAAAGTGCAGCACAGCATGGTATACTTAGGCAATTTTAGAAAGGTGAGTGTTTCCATAGTGGGGGAAGAGATGGACTTGCCTTTAGAGATACGAGGGGAAATACCACTAAGAGTCTTACAAAATATGACAGCAGGCTTAAAAACCAAATGCGATTTAACATCTCTTCCAAGGCTATTGGTTATTCTTCCAACTATTTATATTACTCTGAACTTCTCCATGTATAATTTTGCCTCTCTCCAACTAGAATGTAAACTTTTGGAAGGCAGAATTCATGTACGCACTTCTTGAATGTCTCAAAGCCCTCAGTATGGGGTCTAGCACACAGTAGAAGTCTTACCAATCTTTTAAATTCACAATCCACCCTCATAGCTGTATGCTCAGTGCTTAAAGGAAATTCAAAACATCTGTTAGAAGAATGAACCAGTGCTGAGTTAAGACAAAAACTGAAAGGCCCAGCATATTTTGTGGCAATGTTCTGGATTAGTGATTTTGCCTCTAGCACAACTTTATTTGCTGTTAAAAAAGCGATTTAAGGCAATTTGTTTCCAAATGTCATATTTTAGCATATTTATGGTTGTCAATAACTGGGTAATCAGCAGTAAAATAACAAGTATGGATTTTCAGCTATGATAATTGGACTTATCTCTCAGAACTGCTTGTAGGTAACGATCGTTAATCAATGGATGACATTTCCTGCAGACTGGGAGGCCCTGTCTCGCCAACCTCTGCTGGACAGGACTGTGATCTGTGGCCTGAAGTGACATCTTCTCTACAGGGAGTGAATGTGGTGTGATGACCAACAGTGGTAGCTGAGTCAAAGAAATGGACGTGAAGGAGGAGTGAAGATGGAAAAGTTAGCATTGCTCTTTATCAAAGTTACGGCAAACCAGGGCTGGGCACCTTGTGTTTATTTGGGAGAGGAAATGAGAGATGTATGTTGAGTGTGATTGTATGAATATGTTTGTTTGAATTGGGGAAGTAATAGGGGAAGAGGAGAGGTTCTTTTCTAGGATCCAGTCTGATGAGAACAAGGAAAAGAAAAGAGAAGTAAAGGCTGTAAATACTAAGGGAAAGCTAGGTAGCTATAAATATCTAAAAAAGAAGACTGTACGTGGTGCAGTCACAGGCTGCAGCAAAGAGGATCACATAAAAGAGACAATGGAGAAGATGAAGTAGAAAATCAGGGGTGTATTTAAGTCAAACACTCAGAAGTTTCTCTGCAGGTTTGTTCGACTCCTGATTGTTTTGCTGGGATGCTAACCCATGCTGCCTCCTGCATTCCACCTTAGTGGTGGTGGTGACAGTGAAATATACGTCTCATGCTGTCAGTTTTAACCCCTAAATGCCATTGCCTATAATTTTGCTCCTTAGTTCTAGGGTGTGGCTGTCAGTATCACCTGCCCAGAGATGACAGGAACCAAGAAAGCATCACCCAAGGGATGGTGAACGCCACAACAGCTTAGACAAAGCATATGCAGTCCTAGAAATGCTACATATTCTAAGTAACTGTGTCTAGGGATAGGGGTGAATATAGAACTATGCTCTAATAAAAACGTGAATCCCCAAAGTCAACTTTGCCCGAGACTCATAAATGATCTTATATTTAATTCATATTTCCTGCCCTTTTGTCTTGGAGACCTAGCCTCTCCTGGCCTACAATGATGAAGCAGGCCTCGGGAGGGACCTCCCTGGTGGTCCAGTGGTTAAGACTTTGCCTTCCAATGCAGGGGGTGTGGGTTCGATCAGTTAAGATCCCACAGGCCTCGGGGCCAAAAAACCAAAACATAAAAAAACAGAAACAGGGCTTCCCTGGTGGCGCGGTGGTTGAGAGTCCGCCTGCCGATGCAGGGGACGCAGGTTTGTGCCCCGGTCCGGGAGGATCCCACATGCCGCGGAGCGGCTGGGCCCGTGAGCCACGGCCGCTGAGCCGGCGCGTCCGGAGCCTGTGCTCCGCAATGGGAGAGGCCACGACAGCGAGAGGCCCGCGTACCGCAAAAAACAAAAACAAAAACAGAAACAATATTGTAAGACGCAGGTCTCTTACATCAGTCTGGGTATGTCGCTGACAGCCACCGTCCCGTCTTGGGTCTCGCTCTCTCCATCTTCCTCCTCTTCATCACTGCTTTCCGACTCCTCACTCGAGGAGGAGTAATCCGTCACTTTCTTCAGTGGGCGGTTTGTTTCTTCAATCCGGAGTTCTCTTAATTCTTTGGCTAATGCCGTCAGATCCTACAAGAGAAAAGCGTGTCCAGCGTATATGGATTATAGACACGACCAAAGCGACGTCTCTCAGCAAGTCTCCGGCTCAAGCAACAAGAAATAAAGAAGAAAAAAAAGCTCTCTATAGAACTGTTACAAACATAGTTACTGCATGAAACCAAGAAAACGATGTTTGTAGCGTGGAGAAACTAGAAAAGAAAGATGAAATAAATTTAAACTTTGTTCACAACCAATTGCTAGACTGAGACTGTTCGGTTCTGAATCTGCGTATATACGTGTATGTGCACTGTGTGTGTACACATATATACAAACACTGGGTTCACATTTTATTTTGGGAAGGTGAAGTTGGTCACCCACCCTCATAGTTAATTACCCACTGGATTAGAAATTATTCCCCAGTATTTTGAGACTCCTGCCCAAGCCACAGTCATGGCCTTTCTCCTCTTATGATTGCTACTGTACCAAAATCTAACATCAGTCACAGAACAGAGCAATTCCCAAGGTTCCAGCTGCTACAATGACTCATTTGGTGTGTCATCATTCCCTGGACAGCCGAGGCATCACATCAAATAATGGCCCACCCCAAAGCCCAGTGCCACTGAAATTTATAGCCACAGAGCTGAGTTAATCAAGAGGAACAACAACAAAATAAAACAAACAAAAACAAAAAAGAGTTCTCTTCCAGAATGATAGGTGTTTCATTTTCTTTTGTTTTATATTGTGTCACCTGGCAGAAACCCTGGCGGAGAATACTGAAATGAATGTGCAAACACCAAAAGGAAGAGGTAAATTTTCAGTTTTCCATAAGTATGATGAAACCTTTAGCCTTATGGATGTGATGAGGTGGTATTTAATCACCAGGCACATGGCAGGCAGTGTGCTGAAGATCTGACTACCTTTTATTGTACATGCTTTCAGAGCAATGCAGAGGGAAGGAGTTCTGCTAAAGCATGGCCGCTCTAATTTGCATGGGTTAAACTGCCCTTGGCACACAGCATGCAAATGAAGAAAAAACAGTTTGACATCAGTCTTACCATTTCTCCCTATATTAGTGACCCATGTGGGAATCAGAGCATTCAGTGAGAGACAGGGGATTAGGGAGAAAGAAACTTATTTGAAGATACTAAATCCCACAGTTTTCTTATGGCCATATTCTCTCTTTATTTCAATCCAGAAATGTATTTGCCCAATTCGCCTGATGTAAGCTTAGAGCAATATAGGTGATCTAAATGACATCTGATAATCTATCCTGATAGGTGAGAAGAAAAGTTGTGATAAATGTGTGTAATTAAATTATAAGTATAATTTTATTTTGAGAAGACAACAGATCATCCTGTTTCTTTACTGGTGCCTATATGTGAGGCATTAATGTATTGGTTAAGACTAAGGACAGAAAATGCTTGAGGTTTTTTATTTGGTCTAGAAATTTAGAAAGTTCAAGGTGTTAAGTGAAGGATTCATTTCTTTCTAATTTCATAAAAATCAAAGGGACAGCAATGACAACTTTTACATTTGTTCTGTAGTCATTTGAATTGAAGCCCTTGGAAAAGAGAAGTTTTTGGAAATTCAAATTGTGCATTTTCCACCCAAACATGCTTGCTGGGCTTTTACACACATGCACACACACATGGCCTCAATCTCAGTGGATATATTTACCCCATCCATGAAAGTGAAAATAAAATTGTATTAAAAAGACTCAAACTGTTTAAATGTAATGTACACCATGAATGAAGAGGAAAATTACCACACAGAATTTTAGGCAAATTTACTTCCGGTTTCTTTGGTGATGGGTCAAAATAAGAAGAGCTAACGTTCAGATTTCAGCTTTTTACTTCTTATTTCCTCTTGACAACTGCCAGTGTTTATCTTTATCAAATTGACGAGAAAGTGAAGGGTATGCTACACTTGAGCACATTGGGAAAATACAGTTTAGATATTTGTTAAAGCAATTAATGAAAAAGGACATTATAATCCTCCAAACCAATAAAATAATTTAAAAATCAGATAAATTTATTTTGTATTTTTCCTTCTCTGTGTTAGGACCATGTATGTCTCATCAAAGAATACAACTAGCATCTAAAATGTTACTTGTCACTAAAAATCTTTTTATTATAATTTAAAGAGAGAATATGGTTAAGAGAGTTTATTTCTAATGTCAGTAATTCTGAGTAAAATATAATAATATTAACTATGATTTATTTAAATTAATAATACATTTTCCCCATGGGTTGGTTTTCCTTATCACTGACATTTCAAAGCAAGACAAAGAAGATTTTTAAAAATCAAAACTATTTAGAAATATTTAGCTGGTCCAAAGTCCATTGATTTAAAGTAACTCTCACTTGTTAAAATCACCTAAATTTCTCCAAACACTGTATTTAGGAACACTTCTAAAGCTCTGACCTGCTTTATAATTTCACTTTTAATTAGAGGTTTTGTTTGTTTGTTTGTTTTGTTTCTGTGTTATTAAAAAGCTATCTTTCCTGAAACTTTAGAAATAATTGCAAATTCCTTTTAAGTTTAATTGGTAACAGCTTGGCAGGTGAGACATATATGAAAATCCCAAGGTACCAATAATGAGTAACTCAAAACTAATACCCCAGCCAAAGAAAATTAATCTTCCATTGCCCATAGCCTGTGTGTTTAGCTGAAGTTTTGTTCCTTATCCATCCACCCTGGAAAAACTTAGAATAGCAAAGTTATAGGAAAGAGACATGATCTAAAATTGATACCATTGCATTCAGATCCATTTTCATATGTTTCATTTTCTGACAATACCAATCTTCTCCATATAATGAGTTTTTGTGGTAATTTATTGCTTGACTGTCTCAAGCCTGGAGCTAAAAAGCATTAAAAAATTGCTATTTACAATAAAAATATTTGAGAATGTATAACTGAAAAAGAAATATGGCAAAATGTTAAGCTTTTTGACTACAGAATAAAGATAGCTAAGGGGCTCTCACCCAAAGGTTTCTTTCATGTAACACTTTTTAGAATCAACTTGATATAATTTTTCTTTCAAAAAGGCTTATTTAATCTGACAATTACGCATACTCTGCTTTAAAAGGTGCTCTTTTGGGTGTCTTTTTAAAAACAATATAGTTTATGCAAATTTTAGTTCAATTTTTTAAGATATTAAAATAATAGTTAAAGATTTTAAAGTTGTTTTTTTCTTTACATATTAAAATAATTCATTTCCTTTTTAGGAAATCTGAAGATATGACTTGGGGAAGTCACTTGACTTCGATATCTTCAACTGAGGGAAAAAAGGTTTGTTCCAGTTCTGTCCAGTCTATGGATGTGCCCTGGAATTTGTCAGATTTCTACATACAATAAAAAAGTGGTGGTAAAGCCAGTGTTTGCTTATGTATCTAATCTTCATGACATCTATTTAATTGTGCTAAAGTAAAAAGAATATTTATTTTGGAGGGTTGTATTAAATAATCACAGACTACGCTGCACAATCTCATACTCCATAGGAAGGAATGCCAAATGGATGGACACTCCCCCAGACTGACTTTTATGAAACTCAAATAATTAAATTAGCAATAATAAGCAATATATTTTTGGCATTTTAAGACTGCTCATTTCAAACTCGGGTTATCTAAATGGCATATCAGTCACGGTGGATGGAAGCCATCTTAAAACCTAGGAATGGAGATGGGAGAGAGATTTAACTCAAGGTTTTTTGACTGTGGCGTAGGTTTTTTGACATTTGGGGTGGATAAGTCTCTATTGTAGGTTGTTTTCCTGTGCATTGTAGGTTGTTTAGCAGCATCTCTCCACTCTACACACAAGATGCCAGCAGCACTGCTTCCCACCTCCAAGTTGTGACAACCAAACTGACTCCAGACTTTCCCAAATGTCTCCTAGGGGAAGGGGAGTTGTGGGGGGATACTCATCCCTGGTTGAGGACCACTGGGTTAGGTAGAACCAAGGAATCCTGTGTTTTGGATCAGTGATACTCAAGGGGTAGGGTTAGAAGAATCACCTGGAGGGCTTTTTCCAGTCATCCATGGCTCTAGAGATTTTGGTGTACAGCTTACACCCCCTCAATTATTTGTACCTATGTTGCCTACCTCTCATCTCTGTCCAGTGTGCTAGAGTATCCTGAAATAAATAAAGCAATTTTTAAAAGCCTAAAATATCCTGGGTTAACCAGATGAAATCCATGAGAGCCCTTTCCCTCATGACAGCCACCTCCAAGCTAATTTCTGGACTCATAAGAGGAAACCTTGAGTTGTGCACACACACGACCATTTTATTGGCAGCCTGAGCACGAGAACTGTTTGGGAGAAAACTGATACAATTTGTGATAATCCCTGAAGGCTGTAGCACAGAGCAATTAAAAACATTTCCCTTTTTTCTTTCTATAATGCCATCCACACACTGTAGACATGTAGAATCTTTTTTTTTATAAGCACTAATTCTTTAACTATGATGATGACTTTCTAAATCACTCTGAATGGTGAGGCGGTCATAATTCTGAAAAAGTGATGCTTTTTGGTAAAGATCAGACACATAGAAACATGCTTCTTCCACCAGAATAGCTCCACCCCTCAGGCCCTGGCTTTACATAGCACTTCACACTTCAGAAAATGCTCCCGCACTCATGATCTTGAGTGAACCTAAACAATCTTATGAGCGAGGAAACGCAGGTGTTTTTATCCCCATTTTACAGATGAAACTGGCCAGAGAGTTCGTGAGACCGGCCCCTCCAGTTATTTATTGGGGGAGCCAGAATTTGAATGCAGCTTGTTCACTCCCGAAGCCTGTGCTTTTTCTGTATCACTTCACAAAAACGGTGCTCAGCCTTAAAGCCATAATGCTAGCCTTCAGATTCCATGCAGTTAGGATTCTTTGCAGAAGGCCTCTCTCTTCCAAAACAACTCCACTATGCTGTATTCATGCAGGTCTGACAAACAGCAGTGAGGCCGTCATCCTTCTTAGCCAGCTACTTAAGATTGGCAAAGCCATATATTTTTCTAATGGAAAAATGTCACCACAGATAAGGAAATAAAGTTACTTAACTCGCCAGGATTCATTAACTAAGTTGACGTTGCTGCTGATGCTGTAGTTAATGTCCCACAAATTAATCTAACAATACCCGGTAACTCCTTGTTCACAAATCACACACTATAAATGTGGACGACCCTAGAATGATGTCTCTTTTCTTTGTTAGTAAAACTGCCATCCCCTAGCAAGGCTGGCGAGTGCAGGTTAAAAGCTCAGGCTTTGCTACTGGAAGATACTAGAATGAGAAACTGTGCCAATAACAAAGCACCGATGCTTATCTTTAGCTAGCCTGGAACGTTGGAAAAGTGACATTTTGGCTAGAAGGAAGGTCTCTGGAGCTATACACAGTGTCTGAGGGGCTCAGGCTGGCTTCTGTGAAAGGGCTCTCCTCGCAGCAGATCACTCCAAAGGAATGAACTTTAATCTGTGATCCAATTGGTTCACCTTTCTGAACATCAGCCTCAGGAAGTCAGTTTATATTTACATCTCGTGAAAGCATGACCAAGCAAAAAGGTAATACTAACCTCATCTATAGCTTTCTTATAGCTCTGAGATAAGAGGAAACCAATCCAGAAGAATCCACATGAGGGGGAAAAGCCGGAAGAAAGGCAGCAGGTTAGACACAAAATGGAAATTGTTAGTACACAACTGATAAATGCAAAAAGGGCAAGAAGAACCTCAACCCAGAATGGTGTGAATGCCCTTCATTGTTACCCTCAGTGTACTTCCTTACTTTAAAATGTAAAAAAATAAAGTAAACGAAAACATCTTCACATCCATTTCACAGAAAAGACTCTTGGAAAATTTAAATAAAATAAGTATATAATAACTCATTCCAAATTAATTTCCAATTTTCAAATTTCAGCCTCCATCCTCTTATTTCTTTCTTTAAGGCTATTTGGGGTCTGATGTGTTACAGCAATGAAGCTAGATTTCAGGTTGTCAGCCCCCTATCAGACCATGCTTATCCAGTTTTGGTCTAGAAAATACAGTCCTAGAGCAGCAGAAATGCAGCAGAAAAATTGTAATATTAATTCATGTGGAAAATAATATAGGAAAAGGCCAGAATATACAAGAAAAATCCATAGGAAGTGCCCAAATGTTCTTAATTGTTACTTTCAACATCTTTCCGCTAAAGCTGCTGAGTAGAAATTACGGAATGATGTGAGTTATTTCTCTTCCTGTTTTATTCTGTAACATAGTGCTAATGATCAGCAAAATAACCAAAAGCAGATAAGCAACCCAAGATCTGTTCATTTCTTTCCTAATCAGGTATGACTTCCTTCCAGATGCTTCTAGCATCCGTTCTTATTCACCTCAACATTTTTTGTTTCATAGTCATGAGTGCATCCCCAACTACTTTATCCTGCGGGTTCTCTGGGAAATTAAAAGAGTTCAAAACCGTTTGAGAGAAAAGCACTCACAGCCGGTCGACTAGGTCGAGTAATTTCCCTGGATTCTTCAGATTTCACCTTGGAAGGCTCATGGGGGAGCACAGGTGATCCTTCCGACTTACTGTTGGCTAGAGGAAAAAAAACAGAGGGCCAAGAAAGATAATGACCGTCAGAAGGTGCTGGCTCAAGTTCTGGAGTTCTGTGGTGAGTCAGCCTTGGAAATGACTCAGCGGACACCTCATTCACTTAGGCAAATGCTCAAGCACATCCGTGAAAAAACAGAAATGTTCAGGCAAACGAAGTCAGCCATACACATTTAGTCTTATAACCTGGAGGTCACTGGTAATTATATGAAAAACTAGCCAGCACCACCATTTACTGAGCACTAATTTTGTGTCAGGCTTAGTGCTAAACGCTTTCTATGTCAATTGTCTCGTTGAATCCTTGCTCCAGCCCAATGACGTGGCACTGTGTTTTCCTGTATGACAGTCGAACACAGAGAGATGACACAACTAGCCTAAGGTTACACTGAAGTTATGTGCAGAGCTGGGATTCTGTCTGATTTCTCAAAGTCCTATTCTCAATTATTATACTAAACCAGCCTCTGAGTTAGCATTCTATGTTTGATTTCTTCCTTTACCACTTACCCATCAGGATAAGTTTTTCTGACGAAATGTTGTAGAAAAAAATAGAAACCTGTTTTATTTGGAGGAACGATTTTTAAATGGGGGGAGGAAAGGGGAGTTGTCGAGGGCGAGGGCAGGAAGGAGAGTGTTGGTGATAAAGCGGAAGGGCCCTAGAATAGAGGTTATAGAGCAAGGGCTGGGGGAGGGCTGCCTGACAGCTACAAGTGAAGAGCATCCCTCCGAGTTATGAGCTTACAGGTAGAGAAGAAGCAATCTAAGGTGGCAGAGATTCTTTTGCTTGGTTTCGAAGTGGTCTTTCCTGGGTAGGGATACACCAGGGATATGAGTGCTTTTAACCCAGGAAAACTAAAGGCCAAAGGAAAGAAGGTAAGAATTAAACCTGAACCAGATCAGAGAATTAAAATGGTATACCTAAGTTTGGTTTTCTTTAGCATTTGCTCTAACTAAGCAAATTAAGTTGCTTATGAATAGAAAAAAGGTAAGGGAATGGCAGTTTTCCAAAGTAAGTAACTTTGTATCTGGATCAAGGCAACAAAAGTATACATAGCTCTGGGTGGTGCCACTGATGTCAGAAGATTGCACATAGGGGCAGCCACAGGCCAGTTCCTATTCCAATTCATAGACACAAGCGTTGCACGTCTGACATCGACCTTTCCAAAATGTACATACATTTGAGTTTACTCGGAGAAATATTAGGAGGTAAAGTATAATTGTGTCTAATGAAGAGGCTAAGAGAGAATAAAGAACTGGTGATTTTCATTAGGCAGAGTAATTTATAAGTGTTTTCCAAATTGCACTTAAAAAAAATCCCGGTCTTTATTACTTGGAGGCCAAATTATCTTCTGAAGTAGATTATGCAGAAAGAGTACATTTTGATTAGCTATAAACAATAGGTTATCATGTATAATTAGCTGGACACATTAATGTTTTTCATAAGCTTCCTCATTAATGAAAACTAAGCAATGAAGAATGACTTGAATTAAATGGTCAGAGAGGCTAATTTTTACCTCTCTAATAGGAAAGACTAGAAGAGTCAAGTGTACTTTTTAAGTCATAGATTTTATATCTTCTCTCAAGTGTATATTTATTCTACCTTAGCCTTTTATTAACTTTCCCTTTGAAAAATACCTTGTATTCTGAACACAGTTGACACAAGGGGAAGAGGATACTTGGGGGTCCATGAAACTCTAACCAATCAATCAAATGGAAATGGAAATGCAGGTGACTGATGACTACGTTTTCAAGTAAGACCAATATTTTGTGATCTCCCTGGAGAACACTGGTATCTGCAATTAGAAAGCATTTAGTCCACACTGATGTCACACATATAACTGGGGATGGTGGTCCACTCCCCTAAGGAGACTGAGGCTGAGAGCAGTTAAGCGGCTCTTCGGCATCACACAGTGGTGGCCACGCCGGGACCAGAAGTCCTAGAAGTCAGGAAGTAATCTGGTTCCCTGTGCATGGCTCTCCCCCTCAGGGAATGCTGTCCTGGAAAGGTAGGGGAAAGCGCTACCTCGAACCCTGGTCCGTTCGCTGGATCCTGCTTGTGACCCAGGTTGAGAGCCTCCTTGGGAGCTGGGCTGGGAGCTAGGGGTGCTGGAGCTGGAGGAACTGCCACTGCTGGTCCTCTGCAAGGGGCTCTCCACGATGGGCTCAGTTCTCCGGAGGTCAGGATTGCTGCATGGACAGCAGAGCACAGATATTATACTCTCAAGACCTTGCCACTGGTAGACACAAGCATAGCCCAGTCCCATCCCCAGTACAAAGGGGTAAAGAGAGTACTTATATGACCTTGCATTACAGGGGTCCATGGTAATGATAGTCATGCTATCCTCTGTGGAGCTCCTGGCCAGATTCTGCATCTGGACGGGAAGAACTCTTAACCCAACTCCTGGGTCATCACACCAAACGTTATTAGCTCTGAAATGGTGAATCTTTAAAGGAGGCTTTCTCTTAAACCCCTTTTCCTATTCTCATTGTAAAACATTTGAAAATATTACAAGATAAAAATAAGGAAGCAATGCATGCAACCTCTGAATCAAGAGATATTCAACTATATTTTACTGGATGGAATATTATCTTCTAGTCTTTTTTCTTTTGTATGTATGGAAGCACACTGTATATTCAATTTTGCGTCTTGCTTTTTCCCCCCTTTAGACTGCATTGAGAGCAGCTTCTTATGCTTCTAAAAACAATAATAGCTGCATAGTATTCCATTATATAGATAAATTAGTTCAACCATTCTTCTATTGTTAGGTGCTTCCAATACGTTGCTATTATACATAACAGTGAAATAACCATCTAGATGCATACAAATATTCACAATCACATCTCTCCTAGAACTGGAATTCTTGGGTGGAAGGGCATGAACTTAGGTATGTGTGTGCACATTTATATGTACGTGAATGTATAAACATACTGCCAGTTTTCACTGAAGTGTATGAGATGACCCATCTCACTGAATTCTTACCAGGCTTTATTATGAACAGCTAACTAATTTGTAAAAAATTGTTTCTTGTTGCTTTAGTGCAGTTTTTAAAAATTAAGTGAAGTAAGAAAGAGAAAAACAAATACCATATGCTAATATATATATATGGAATCAAAAAAAAAAAATGTTCTGAAGAACCTAGGGGCAGGACAGGAATAAAGATGCAGATGTAAAGAACGGACTTGAGGGCACGGGGAGGGGGAAGGGTAAGCTGGGACGAAGTGAGAGAGTGGCATGGACATATATACACTACCAAATGTAAAATAGATAGCTAGTGGGAAGCAGCTGCATAGCACAGGGAGATCAGCTCGGTGCTTTGTGACCACCTAGAGGGGTGGGATAGGGAGGTTGGGAGGGAGATATGAGAGGGAGGAGATATGGGGATATATGTATACGTATTATAGCTGATTCACTTTGTTATACAGCAGAAACTAACACAACACTGTAAAGCAATTATACTCCAATAAAGATGTTATTAAAAAAATGTGATTCTATGCTTTCCTTTTGCTCTGCCCATTTCAGGAGTATTAAGTGGGTAACAGGTACTCTGCACTGTGTTGGGTGTCAGATGCTTCATGTATAAATGTGAAAATAATATGGCCCCTTCCCTTGAGACACTTGCAGTTTGGTCTGTTAAAATCTGGCCACAAAATGGCATCATTAAAGCAGCAACTAAAGCAAATAATTTTTTTCTGAAAACACAAGAGTCTTGCTTTGCAGTAACGTATTTGGCGAAAATATTTGGTTGAGTTGCAAAAATTCTTAAATATTGGGTTATTGGAAGACATGGCTGGTGGTCTTGGAAAACAAGTGAAAATAAAATATGTCCTTATAATTTATTAATTTTGATCATACAAATGTAGAATTTATGACAATATTCACCTCTTAAATTTTTTTATGGTAAAGGGGTTGCTAAGTCAACCTAACAGTAAAACTGACCGCAGAAGTGAGTGTTGGTAAACTTAAGGAAAACTTTAAAAATTCTTGATATTTTTATGGCACTCCTTTGAGTAGTAATTATTTTTGTGAAAACTGTTAGCATTTAACTGATTGAAATAGATTTGGATCCATAATGGAAATACCGTCCCTCCTGTTTGGAGAATACCTAAAATGATAAATGTGTGCTACTGCTGCAATATGCCACCTTTCAAATTTTTCTTTTTTTTTTTTTTTTAAAAAGAAACAATCCTATCTCCTTTCATTCCCAAATAATGAATTCTTCCCCATTGCCCTCTTTCATTAAAGAGTAGTGGTCAAGAATTATTTATGTATAATTAATAAATGCTAAAAATATTTTTTCTCAAAATTATATTACGGGTCAAGGGTGATGGGCATACTAAGGTTTCTTGGTGGCTGCTCTCATTTTGTGGAGATGTACTGTAGTGTTCTTTGTATGAAAAAAAAAAATCTACGAAGAGAATACAGTTCACTGGGTTCTGAGTATTCTCCCTGGCAGCTGTGGTGTGGTAGCAGGATCCAGCTCTTTGCTCGAATACAGCACTCCTTTGATCATTTAACCAAAACCTTTCTATTAAATACCTGCTTTGTGAGACCAGTGGACCAGTTTGAGGGACGGAGAAGAGAGCAGGTCACAGGGCAGACAGTCAAGGTACAACATAATCCTAGAGATGAGACGTGTGTGGTGGAGACAACAGCCAGCAAGGCAAAACTCCATATGCTGTGCGAGCATCTGCAAACGGTGTTGGAGTTTACGAAACAAGGCATGCAGCCTGGAGCGGTCAACAGCGGTGTCAGGAAGGAGACAGGACTTGATTAGGCTTCAGAGGGGTGGGGAAGAGTGAGAGCAGACACCGACTGGGGTTTTCCTGGGGCCTGTTGATGTAAAGATGACGCCACCCTGACTGGGTACTAAGTCTGCGTTAGGAAACCCTGGAAGAGTGGGTCATCAGAAGAAATGGGCGGCTTATGCAGCAATGGCCTTAAAGTCTGGCAGAGAACATGGGCCTCCCAGGGCCAGCTTACGAATGACTGGTCAGGACAGAGGCAGGCTGACCAGATAGGAGGCTGCTGCCACGTTAGATGATAAGGCCCAGGCCAGGGTTGTCCTGGCATAAAAGAGTGGCCTGGGCATCAGCAGAACCAGCGGGATGAGCCTGCGTCTCTGACTGGGGCTCAAGGGCCTCTTTCAGTGTGAAGTTAATTGGATCCCATGGGCATTAAATCCCTGACCTGGGCCTTGTTAGTACAAGTCCCGTCCAACTGGAGCTAACCAGTGTGGGTGCTTATCTTAATAGGGTGCTATTATTGCTGCTGGAGTCTGAAAGAAGTGTTTAGTGTCTATGTAACCACACATAGAAAGAGGGAAACCTTTAAAATGCTTTTCTACCTTATTTGCTTTTTTGGTAAAAGATGAGTGTTTTGAGAAAATGTCACACTGTTCATATTTTTCTCTTCCTTATTATGTTGTAATTTAGTCTGGCCTAGGGGCCAAGGGGGCTGAGATAAAAGCTCTTAGCGGGGATCAATTTCAGAAGAATTCCATGAAATAACAGATTTCCCTTGTTCATATACTAACTGAGCCTACTCAGATCCAAATGTGTAAAAACTTGAAAACATTCATATAGATTTCTTTAAATGCTAACTTTTAGCTCAGACATTTGCCGTCCTGCAGAGAATGATGATTGGTCTATAAAACACACAGTAAAGTGAAAATTATTCCACTTACTTGAGTCGTATAAAAAAGTCAAAACAGAAAATTAGGATTACAAAGTGATTTCTTGGCCCAAATACCAGGGCCAAGTCTATAATTAACTGGCTGCCCACCAAAATTCATTTTACTTTGTTCTTTGATGACATAGCAAATGAGAACAAACAAGCCATAAGAAGACAGGTTTAGGATGGGATGGAGAATTATTTTTTGAAATTAAGCATTTAGTCATTGGGTTTTAACTGGGTGTTATTGGATTAATTTAAATCTTTTCATACTCTGAATATACTTGTTTAATCAAATTTTAATGTGCTTTAAAAGAACACATGAATCAAAGTTAAATGTTAAAGTGCATGGAAGGTTTTAAAACAGAAATTTAAAAAATGAACAAATCAAATCATGATTTAAACTCAACTGTTCACCTTGACATTTAAGGCAGTATAAGGCATTTGGGAGTCTATACAGTATTGCAAAGGACAAAATATTTAAAAGCAACCCTTTTTTTTTATGGCTTTATGGATGGGCAGTTGTCTGACAAATGGTACAAAAAGAACTATGAGGACTTTATTAGAACCAATAGAAAGTAAGACAGTCTGTATGTTCAGTAACAGCCTCCCTCCCACTCCGCTCCCTCCACCCGTGAATCACATCTCCCACTGTCTGTGACCCTGTGTATTTCCTTTACACACTGACTCTGGGCTTGGCCATGTGACTTGTGGTTGCCAATGGGACATCAGTAAAGATGATAGAAGCAAAGGCTTCAAAAGTGCTTGTGTATTGGGGCTTTCCCTTTTGGGATGCTGTCCTGAAATCACCAGTCAAGAAGCCCAGGATGAAAGACCACGTGAAGGTGCAGCTGACCTATCAGCTCAGTGCAGCTGCAGAAGCAAGCCCAGGTGAGACCAGTGGAACAACTCTGCAGCCAGCCCAACAGAATCGTGAGCAATAATAAATCGTTACTATCTTATGTCTTTGCACGCTTTATTATGCAACAAAGGTGAACTAAAGCCATCTCTAGCACAGTAAATATTCCAAATCCTAAAACGTTTTAAAATGCAATCCAATCTAGAGTTGCAAAATCTGATTCACATTTTTTTTGCGGTATGCGGGCCTCTCACTGTTGTGGCCTCTCCCATTGCGGAGCACAGGCTCCGGACGCGCAGGCTTAGCGGCCATGGCTCATGGGCCCAGCCGCTCCGCGGCATGTAGGATCTTCCTGGACCGGGGCACAAACCCGTGTCCCCTGCATCGGCAGGCGGACGCTCAACCACTGCGCCACCAGCGAAGCCCTGATTCACACCTTAAATGCTGGTCACTTAGAGATACGTGACAGCAAGGAACAGGCTTGTTGGGCAGATTGTTCCACAAGGCAGAGATAGGGATTCTCCATCCTCCCCCTGCCCTGCAATGCGTCTGACTTTCATTGCAGGTAAATAATTATTACCTCTTAGCTCACTTCCTCTCTACCTTTTCTGTAAGCAGAAAAACACTGTCTTCACAAGGTCTGCATTCTATGTAAAAAGTACAATGTTTAAGAGGTTCCAAGGGAAAAAAGCACATGTTTTGCAAACCACTGACCATCAAACACCAGTTATCTTAGGGCCTTAATATCATTAAAATAACATTTCAGAGGGAACAAAGAGCTGCTTTTTATTTGGCTATAGAATGACAGTTCTCTTTCTTTTTGGTTGAGAGAGAGAAAAAGATTTAAAATTGAAATGATGCTTGATCTATAGCAACTAAACTTCTAAACAACTGATCTAACGAACACAGCCTTGAAGGCAGGGTTCCAATGAGCAAGAAGCACTGATAATTGGGGGCTTATCACCGCTCGAAGAGGGGGACTGATAAAGTTCAGGCCGGCAATCCAGGCTGACATTCCTATGGCTCCCTGGTCACAGTCCGCTCCAGGCTTCCTCAGCTGCTCCCAGCACCAGCTCAGCGTGAACCTGACGAGTCACTGGACAAAAATTGCTCATTGGCAACTCCACTCAGATGAGCTAGCTTCTTTGCCCTCAAGGGATGGATGTTTTTAGTGCAGTTCCATCTTATTTATGGACTGACCCCTTCCTAAGGCTTTTCATGTGAAGAGGAAAATGAAAGCTTTATGATCAAAAGCATTCCATATTTTAGGATCTGTACAAATAGTCATACCCTTCATTTTCAGTCTCTCCTTCTCTTTGACTAGCAAGAGTCCTCTTATGAACACAATGAAGACGGATAAAACAGCCTGCCCAAGTTCCTTTTTATAGTCTCAGCAGAGGCCATTTGCTATTTCAGTTGATCCTAAAAAGGAGTGTACTCTTCATGAAATATCTGAGGGAAGCTTGATGAACTATAGCAGCAAACAGCATCTGTTACCACATAAAATCTGCTCAGATACTGTAAGGATATTGTTTATTTTCCAGCTTCTTTGCTTGAGAACTCGACACCAACCAGTAGGTGGACGCAACTTCCTGATTGTAGGAATATACAGGGTTGGTAGAAAATTCTAGGAGAGCACAGAGCAACAGTGGGAGCATCGCTGTATTTCAGTGATGTTCCTTAATGCCAGAGGTGATTTCCTCATGACAATTAGTTCTTCTGTAATTTGCCAAACTAGGGAAGTTCTGCAGCTGGTGGCTACAGCATGTCTATGGCAATTACTGTCTCAATAGCTCCCACGGCACATTTCTTGGCCTGATGCTAAAACCAACTCAGATCAGGCCATTTTGCTTGGCTGGCTTCATGAAATGGTCTCTGAAGTAACGGTCAGGGGCGCTGCACCCAGACTTCTATTTGTAGTCTTACTCCCACATTTAAAAAACTGCCAAGTAAGGTAAACCTGGTTGGATTCTGGGCTGATTCATTCATTGACTCTGTGATTCATTGACTCGTTCATTCATGAGCCCTCACTGTACACTGATTTCTGTGAAAGGCTACTGAAGAAATAAAAGACATGTGTCTGGTCCACCAAAGCTTATAGTCTGGGTAGCCAGCCAGCATGCCTCTGAAGTGAAAAAAGAACAAAGACATTTTTTAAGGAAAGCAACAATGACAATGGTAGGTGGGGACTTCTCCCTTCAACTTACCCATCTTCCCTTACCTTGCTCTGATGGGTTGAGAACCTAGTCTGGGTCCCAGAGCACTACCATTTCCAGGAGAATTCTTTCTCGCTAATGCTGGGGAGATAGAAGTTGTTCTTTGAGGCACCTGAAAGAAAACCAGAATTCAGAAATATTTTCCATAAAATAGCTTCCACAGCGTTCCGCCTGAAAAGCAACCTACTCCTTTCCTGAGATCTGCCAGGAGATACAGAACTATCAGAAACAGGAAAGAAACATCTTGCATTTCTCAAAGAAATATTTAACTCCCTAAACAAAATCAAACGAAAGGCAATGAGGCACATTTCAGCCACCATTAGGGAGTACAAAGTGCTCAATTTTAAAAACAAATTTAGAAACAGACCAAGCGAATTATTTTGATTCACTGGGCTAAAATAATTGATTTCCTTCATTTGTACAAGAGTGGTGGATATCAGAAATTTCTCTGGGGTATCAATAACTCAGCTGATCATTGGAAATTGCATCTGATGAGACATCCAGATAAACCGAGTTCCATTTTTAACTCACAATACAACTGATAAACAGGTAAGGAAATTATGAAATCTGGTGAGAAATTAGGGTATCAGGCTAGAACTTGGGACATAAGCCACATGTTAGTGAGCTCAGAAAAACTACTGCATTAGATCCTCAACGGTTCTACTTCCTAATCAACTTGCAATCTCTAATTAAAAACAAACCGCCAACACTGAACTTTGGAAGGTCAATTTGCAAACGTAATACAAAACACGACTAATACTGAAAATACTGGAAGGTCTTCAAAAAACTATGTGAATACCAGTCAGACTGTGAGGTACAGTAGGAAAACGTACCATTACCTTATCTGTCAAGGGCCTAAGGTAGAATTCAAGTATGCCTCATGTTATGAAACATTTTCTAATGAAATCAAATACTGGTAAGTGCACCAAAGGAGTCCAACATGAGGGGAGAGTAGAGGAAAAACTTACTTTATGAAAAGTGACTAGGAAATGAAAATGCACATCTCCTGTGACAGCTGGTTGGGCTAAACATTCATCAGGTGCTTCAACTTTTATCTATTTTTGGAGGCCCTTTTAAAGTAGGTTTATGTTTTGTACTAGGTTTTTTTTTTTTTTTTGCGGTACACGGGCCTCTCACTGTTGTGGCCTCTCCCGTCGCGGAGCACAGGCTCCGGACGCGCAGGCTCAGCGGCCATGGCTCACGGGCCCAGCCGCTCCGCGGCACGTGGGATCTTCCCGGACCGGGGCACGAACCCGTGTCCCCTGCATTGGCAGGCGGACTCTCAACCACTGCGCCACCAGGGAAGACCTGTACTAGGTATTTTAAAATTATGCTTTGTTTTAATATTATGTTTAGTATATTAAATGATATTTAACACTAATATGGATCTTATTGGTTATTATAATACATTTTAAGATAAAGACCTAGAAAGATGAGTCAGTGAAGTGAAGCAGAATAACCAAATCAGTGTTCCCACCTGCTCAAATTAATTATTACTGTCACTAGTTTTCCTTTTGCACTTGGTCAACTGAAATAGTTGGAGAGAGAGAGAGTCTAATGAATTATTAAAACCTAAAATCTTTGTATTGATCTAAATTTTTTCTCCCAGAGTTATAAGTGTGTGCCTGCGTGTTTTTAGAGAGTGGACCAATAATGTCAAATGTTTCCCCAGCTCTCCTGTCTGCTCCTCTGCCCATCCTATTTTCCAGATTGCACTTTGCTCCATAAATAACATTTTCTGATGGCATCTCTGCTTCCAAAAGATGAGAACAACAACAAAAGAGCCATTATCAGCTAATTTCACTTTCAAAATAATAGAAATCCTGGTATAATATCCTTCTGAGAGGAAAAATATTTGAAAATCATTGGGTAAAAAGGTCTTATTTTTCTCTGGAATCAACAATGGCATCGATTTCTGGAAATTGTGGGACATTCCGTTTGTCATAGCTCCTATGCTGAGTTCAGGAGAAAGGGGAATCCTGAACTGGGAAGAATCTGATGCAAAAATTTCTACAGTATTTTGATGTTTCTAGGTTGTCTGTAGTGAGATGCATGGCCACGTTTTAGGACATTTTTTGGAATGTACAACAACTTGGTATAGGCAAAAACAAAACAAATGAAACCAAACCAGTGGAATGGCTGGTCATTTTACCCTAGAGTTTAATCCTCAGTAATCAATTAAGGCTGGAATTAAATCACAACCTGGCCTAGAAGGAGCTTTCCTTAAGTGGAGCCAACTAAAATACGCTAAGAGCATTACTATCTTCTGAACATTTGAAACCTGTTTTCACTTTGGGTTATTAAAAATAGGAATAAAAAAATCCCTTACTGGCGCCTTTGTCGGTCCCTCTTGCGGTACCCATTGGGTTGGCTGCGGCACATCACCCAGCGACCCTCCCTCCGGAAGCCTGGACACTGCCACTGGGGCTTGGTGGCCGCGGTTCAGGATCTCAAGCCTGGGACAATGGTGTGCATTCCCTGCGTTGTCATTCCAGTTCTGCTCTGGGTCTACAAAAAGTTCCTGGAACCATATATATACCCTCTGATTTCCCCCTCTGTTAGTCGTGTGTGGCCTAGGAAAGCTATACAAAAATCCAATGATAAAAACAAAGGCAAAATAGACTGTAAGGGTGCAGACATAAATGGATTACCGACAAGAGGACCAACAGAAATCTCGGATAAAAAGAAAGACTAATGTGATGGTCCCAAAGGATCTCATTGTTTTAAAAATGGATCTGATAGTATGAAGCATCTTCTTTGTACTTGTCTCTGATCTTTTTCCCTGAAACCAGAATTTGGGTTAGATAGTTTAGATATTTACCTGACACTAATCAGGAAATACCTGGTATTTGTATTCAAATGTAACTAGTTATATTTAATGACCTCATTCCTGAGTTCCATTTTCATTAAAGTAGCTTTCATTTCTTTTAGCTTTTATTTTTTTAAAAAAAAAAAAAAAAAAAAATCCCTTACTTTTTAATCTGGAAATTTTAAATTTGTCTAGATATAGATTAAGTCATTGATGAAAATATCCATATTATTCTATTTCTTAAGATGGATAGTTAAAAGAACAGTTTGGAACGCTTGGGGTTGCGAGTTCTAATTCTGGATATAGGATATAGGCTTCCAAGTCATTCAGTCTACCTGAGCCTCCATTTCTTTGGGGAAAATGGAGATCAGAAATGATAAACGACAATCCAAGTTATAGCTTGGGAATGAGGAGGGACCAAAACAAACGCAAGAAGGGACGGTACTTTGGTGCCAGGTTCTTCAATACTATGAATGGTCTGGAACAGGGGTAATAACAATAACAGTAACAGTAATAGTAATAATAATAATAATAATAATAATAACAAACAGTGATGACGATGATGGTGATGTCGATAAAAACCCCAGTAATATTACCTTTGGTGGAATGTCTTCTTCCTGTCGTAACCAAGAGCTTCGGTCAAACTTCTCAATGCGAGTGGGGAGAGGCGGGTTTTCAGAGGTGGGATCCGAGTTCTGGCGCGGCATCTCCACGCGGTGAGAGCTCACGTTCAGAGCCTCCTGAAACCCAGAGAGGCCCTTCGTGGGCTGCTCGTGCACCGACTGGGAGGCGGTCAAGGCAGGTCCCTGGGATTTCACAGCTACCAGATGTGGGATCTAAGCATCAAACCAACATCATAGCAGTGTTGTTAGAAGAAAAAGCAGATCAGCTAGGACCTCACTCAGGGGAAGGGAAAATAAAGTTTTAGGGAGAAAGAACCAGAATACACAGAGCCCATCACAGTTCTCTGCAGCATGCTTTTCAAAGCCCCCCCGAATTTCCCATTTAGAGCTGGAGGGCTTGACCAGGGTTCCTAGCAAAGAGTTAAATGATTGACTTGGGACTCTGCTAAGAAGTCGGTGAAATAAGTGTCATGATAATGATTTTTAGTGAACATTTATTGAGCAGCAATACAATATATTTACAAGCACTTCTCTTCTAATGTTACAAACTTCCTCCTTTCAACCTCCTAACTTTGACTTCAGAGAGTGCTCTGTGAAACAAGAATTGCTCTGAATATCTTACTTCTTGTGAACTCACTAAATCGACCATGAGACGGACACAATTATTTTCCTCATGAGAATGTAAGGATTAGAGAGGGTAAGTAACAACCTAGATTTCACAGTTAATATGTGCCAGAGCCTGGATTATAACCCACACATACGCTTAATTGTAGTTCCGGTATTGTAACCCCACAGCCTAGCTGCTACACTATCCTGCTTTCTGGTGAACTGGCTCTTACCAGCTAGGATACTATATATCTCTTGATACCAGCACGTTTCTTTTAGAGTTGTGGTAAGTCTCACAATTTGGCATGTGTTGATGTTGTTCATGCAGGGAAGAAATGTAGTCTTTAGGCAGAAGGGTGGCTTTTTAAGACAAATCATGAACATCTAGAGTTCAGAGTACCCTTTACCATTAGCACTGTTCACACTTCATTGTTTGTGCTCATGTGAGTCTGAGTCCCCCTCCATCACATAGGTAAGCTCCTCAGAGACAAGAGCCATGTCTGACCTCCTATCTCTGAGTCTAGCACTGTGCCTGGCATGTGAAGGTGCTCAGTCAGTCTTGGCTGGGAAAACATCTAGAGTACTTTCTAAATTAAACTCTTAATTCCACAAACATTAATCCAGTATCTGCTTTGTACAAGGGACCTACCAGACCCTCGTTGGATTGAAATCTCAGTGCCCAGACTGCTGGGGAGCATCTCTACAGCCCTCCTCCACCAGCCTGGCCCCGTTCCTCTTGCCCTTGAGGTCTTATCCCTGGAGCAGCCCTGTCCCAGCCTCTTCAGACCATCCTGGGTCTGAAACCTGCAATGTTATTCATTATGGTTCAGAGGGAATTCTCAAAGTCCAGTTCAGTGGAATGTTATGCTTCAACCAGAATAGAATTGTAACCAATTAAATTTATATTAAGGGTAAATATCATTAAATACATTAAGTATTAATATGAAAACAAAGTCTATCTTACAGATATGTAGTACATGCACCCCAATGTTCATAGCAGCACTGTTTACAACAGCCAAGACATGGAAGCAACTTAAATGTCCACTGACAGAGGAATGGATAAAGAAGATGTGGTACATATATACAATGGAATATTACTCAGCCATAAAAAGGAATGAAATATTGCCATTTGCAGCAACATGGATGGCCCCAGAGATTATCATACAAAGTGAAGTAAGTCAGAAAGAAAAAAAGACAAATACAATGAGGTAGAATTATATGTGGAATCTAAAATATGACAAAAATGAACTGATCTGTGAAACAGACTCTCAGACATTGAGAACACACTTGTGGCTGCCAAGGCGGAGGGGGTTGGGGAAGGAACGGATTGGGAGTCTGAGATTAACAGATGCGAACTATCATGTATAGAATGGATAAACAACAAGGTCCTACTGTATAGCACAGGGAACTATATTCAGTATCCTGTGATAAACCATAATGGAAAAGAATATGAAAAGGAATGTAATATATTTATGTTTAACTGAATCACTTTGCTGTAAAACAGAAACTAACACAATATTGTAAATCAACTATACTTCAATAAAATAAATTTTTAAAAATGTAGTACAAAACACAAACCTACTTTAAAAGAGCCCCCAAAATAAAAACAAAAGTTGAAGCTCCTGAAGAATGTTTAATTCAGTTAGCTGTCACGGGATATCTACATTTTCATTTCCTAGTCACTTCAATAGAGTTTCATAAGTTTTCCTCTACTTCCCCCTTTTACAGGGCAATAGTATCCTAAAAGGTCAAAGTTAGGGGCTTTTTAAAGAGGAAGTCTGTGTGTTAAAAGAAAAGTTTCTATAAAAATGTACCCCATGGACAAGCCTCTTAGATAGCCTCATCCACCACAGGGAAGACAGCAGAAGCAAGAAGAACTACAATTCTGCAGCCTGTGGAACAAAAACCACATTCACAGAAAGAGACACAAGATGAAAAGGCAGAGGGCTATGTACCAGATGAAGGAACAAGATAAAACCCCAGAAAAACAACTAAATGAAGTGGAGATAGGCAACCTTCCAGAAAAAAAATTCAGAATAGTGATAGTGAAGATGACCCAGGACCTCGGAAAAAGAATGGAGGCAAAGATCGAGAAGATGCAAGGAGTGTTTAACAAAGATCTACAAGAATTAAAGAACAAACACCTAGAAGAATTAAAGAACAAACAAACACAGATGAACAATACAATCACTGAAATAAAAAATACACTAGAAGGAATCAATAGCAGAATAACTGAGGCAGAAGAATGGATAAGTGACCTGGAAGACAGAATGGTGGAATTCACTGCTATGGAACAGAATAAAGAAAAAAGAATGAAAAGAAATGAAGACAGCCTAAGAGACCTCTGGGACAACATTAAACACAACAACATTCACATTATAGGGGTCCCAGAAGGAGAAGAGAGAGAGCAAGGACACGAGCAAATATTTGAAGAGATTATAGTTGAAAACTTCCCTAACATGGGAAAGGAAATAGCCACCCAAGTCCAGGAAGTGCAGAGAGTCCCATACAGGATAAACCCGAGGAGAAACACGCTGAGACACACAGTAATCAAATTGGCAAAAATTAAAGACAAAGAAAATTATCGAAAGCAGCAAGGGAAAAATGAAAAATAACATACAAGGGAACTCCCATAAGGTTAACGGCTGATTTCTCAGCAGAAACTGTACAAGCCAGAAGAGACTGGCATGATATGCTTAAAGTGATGAAAGGGAAGAAACTACAACCAAGATTACTCTACCTGGCAAGGATCTCATTCAGATTCAATGGAGAAATCAAAAGCTTTACAGACAAGCAGAAGCTAAGAGAATTCAGCACCACCGAACCAGCTCTACAACAAATGCTAAAGGAACTTCTCTAAGTGGGAAACACAAGAGAAGAAAAGGACCTACAAAAACAAACCCAGAACAATTAAGAAAATGGTCATAGGAACATACACATTGATAATTACCTTAAACATGAATGGATTAAATGTTCCAACCAAAAGACACAGGCTCAGTGAATGGATACAAAAACAAGAGCCATATACATGCTGTCTGCAAGAGACCCACTTCAGACCTAGGGACACATACAGACTGAAAGTGAGGGGATGGAAAAAGATATTCAATGCAAATGGAAATCAAAAGAAAGCTGGAGTAGCAATACTCATAGCAGATAAAATAGACTTTAAAATAAAGAATGTTACAAGAGGGCTTCCCTGGTGGCGCAGTGGTTGAGAGTCCGCCTGCTGATGCAGGGGACACGGGTTCATGCCCCGGTCTGGGAAGATCCCACGTGCCGCAGAGCGGCTGGGCCCGTGAGCCATGGCTGCTGAGCCTGTGCGTCCGGAGCCTGTGCTCCACAATGGGAGAGGCCACAACAGTGAGAGGCCCACGTACCGCAAAAAAAAAAGAATGTTACAAGAGACAAAGAAGGATACTACATAATGATCAAGGGATCAATCCAAGAAGAAGATATAGCAATTATTAATATATATGCACCCAACACAGGAGCACCTCAATATATAAGGCAATTGCTAACAGCTATAAAAGAGGAAATCGACAGTAACACAATAATAGTGGGGGACTTTAACACCTCACTTACACCAATGGACAGATCATCCAAACACATTCTCCAGGATAGATCACATCTTGGGTCACAAATCAAGCCTCAGTAAACTTAAGAAAACTGAAATCATATCAAGCATCTTTTCTGACCACAATGCTATGAGATTAGAAATCAATTATAGGGAAAAAAACCATAAAAAACACAAACACATGGAGGCTAAGCAATACGTTACTAAATAGCCAAGAGATCACTGAAGAAATCAAAGAGGAAGTTAAAAAATACCTAGAGACAAAGGACAATGAACACACGACGATCCAAAACCTATGGGATGTAGCAAAAGCAGTTCTAAGAGGGAAGTTTATAGCAATACAAGCCTACCTCAAGAAACAAGAAAAATCTCGAATAAGCAATCTACCTTACACCTAAAGGAACCAGAGAAAGAAGAACAAACAAAACCCAAAGTTAGCAGAAGGAAAGAAATCATAAAGATCAGAGCAGAAATAAATGAAAATAGAAACAAAGAAAACAATAGCAAAGATCAATAAAACTAAAAGTTTATCTTCTTTGAGAAGATAAACAAAATTGATAAACCATTAGCCAGACTCATCAAGAAAAAGGAGAGGACTCAAATCAATAAAATTAGAAATGAAAAAGGAGAAGTTACAACAGACACCACAGAAATACAAAGCATCCTAAGAGACTACTACAAGCAACTCAATGCAATAAAATGGACAACCTGGAAGAAATGGACAAATTCTTAGAAAGGTATAACCCTCCAAGACTGAACCAGGAAGAAGCAGAAAATATGAACAGACCAATCACAAGTCATGAAATTGAAACTCTGATTAAAAATCTTCCAACAAACAAAAGTCCAGGACCAGATGGCTTCACAGGCGAATTCTATCAAACATTTAGAGAAGAGCTAACACCCATCCATCTCAAACTCTTCCAAAAAATTGAAGAGGAAGGAACACTCCCAAACGCATTCTATGAGGCCACCATCACCCTGATACCAAAACCAGACAAAAATACTACAAATAAAGAAAATTACACATCAATAT